TATATATATATATATATATATATATATATATATATATATATATATTATATTCCATATATAACCAGAAGCTGATGGCAGACAAAACTCATACTGAGATGAAAAGAGGGAAGCAGGAAAGGCCCCAAAAGAAGAAGTGATGGGGGGGGAAACCCTGATCTGACTGGAGAGCAAAAAAAATACTTGTTCAAGTTCAATCAGGGCAGGAATTGTCTTGCTTCAGAACTTCAGTTATGTTCTAGTTTCTTTGTCTTTCCCAGTGCATTGTTCTGCAATTTTATTCTTGTTTTGCCTGAGAAATTTATAGCTGACGGAAGGAAAAGGAGGAGGAAAGTAGAGAAGATTCCTAGCGCTGGACTGTAGATTGAACCACATTATCTCCAGTAGACATACTATATTAAGTCCGCAGTGGATTTCTTCAAGATGCATAATTAAAAGATGACACACTTGAACAAGCCTAATTGAAACTGCCAAAAATGCAGCACCTTCGCTTTCATCCTATTTCTATAGGAGAATGAAAATCCAGAGACTTTTTACATGCAATTTTTAATCGTTGTTAAAATTAACCCCTATACATTGCATGTGTAAATAATAATTTATTTTTCAACTGAATTCTCATATTTACTGTTACAAATTCCCCCCTGTCATGGATTAACTTGTTAACTAAAAAAATGAACTTAGTATTCACCAAGATGGCATTCTGAGCCAGCAGGAATTTTTCTCTCTCCTGATGATGGACAGCTGGTTTGACTGCCCCAGCTGGCTGTTTGGCAGCACGCTCCCTGGTTATGAACGGAAGCTACTAGGAGTGACTCAAGATGACTCTTGGATGACTATGGTCTACCTGAGAAAAAGACTTAGAAGATAACAATTCTAGATGGGACTAATCAGAAAGCAAAGTCTCCATCTTTTTCCTTTCCACTCTCTGCTTTTTAAGAATCCTGAATTTTAACTGCACATTTTGATATGGTATTTTATGTCTACTTTTAAATGTTAACCTACAGATTGACTGCTGATTCAATTTAATGTCCTACTGGATCTTAAAGTGGCTTTTTAATGTTCTTTTCATGGTTATATTAGCTGCCATAAACCACTTCTATCTCTTCTGCATGGAAGCTACGACAACTCTATGTAGTGAAAGAGATCTGTTTTGATTTCAGTTATTGAACTTTCACTACAGTGATTTCATATTTTATAAATTTATCAAGAAAATTCTTGTCTTAATTTTTTTTAAACTTCTGAAAAAAATATCTCTCACTAAAACCTCACTGTGTTTTTTGGGCTTGATCTGTTATGATGCTCTTGTTGTCTCTGCGATGATCTGTTTACAACTAAAAGTTTCAGCTGTAGAAGTTTAACTACTGAAGTATTTTGGACTTTATAAAAATATAATCAAAATGCAAGCAATATAACAAGATAAAGTTTATTGAGAAAGCTGGGCAAAAAGAATATTTTTCAATTTACTTTAACTTGAAAATTTGGATAAGTAGCTTGATAAAGTAACTATGAATTTAAAAGGTGGTAATCAGATTCAAGCAAAACATTACAACAAAATTTACAATTAGATGAACTGGAGGGTAAATTACTGCTTCCAGCCCTGAAAGATGAGGCTGACTTGGAAAATGCAAGTTGATTAGAGGATTCCAACAAATGTATGGATTCCAAAGATTCAAAGTTGATAGAATGGACGAGTGTTGAACACTTTTTCAAGAAGATTGAGGAAGACCAGAGAAAGAATCTATTATACATTTGGAAAACAAATGTCAAAAGATGTTAACTTACAATTTGCAGTACATTTTTGGACAGTAAATGCTGTAGAGTTACACACAACAGAAACTCATGACTTTTGGGAATAAAATCCAGTTGTTAGAAAAGATCCCATTTAATATCTTAAGGAAAAGCCTTATTATTAAGAGTCAATCAGGGATATTTGATGCTGGACAGACCAGAGATAATGATTGCTATGACTTACAATAAACCAAAGAACATTTGAGAGAATTTCTATGAGAGAGAGATAATTACAAAGACTGTTAACAGAGGGTTTAGAGGTTTAATTTAGCTGTTGTTGACAATGTTTTATATTCTAGATAGATGTCAAGCTAAGTGGGTTGGGTAAACAGTGTTTTACAATATACTAATATTCAAAGCCATTTCAGTATTTTACAAATGCTGTGCCTGCTTTGCAAGGGTGGGGAGTTGTTATCTTTGGAATATAGTATCTGTATTCTATTGGGGGGAGGGACAATTTAGGTATAGATTTGTTTTGTTTTTTCTTTGTATGCATTTTTGTGTAATCTTGTTTAGTTTTGTCTTGTTTTTGTACTTTTCTTCTTTTGGTGTTTGTATTTTAAAGTTTTGAACAAAATAAAAGTTGATTTAAAAAAAAATGTACTTAGTATTCAATTATTTGCATAAGAAGATCCATTTAGAGGGATGATCATCTTGTGTTGGGATTGAGAAAGCAAAACTAAGAATTTGTTATTATGAAAAGCAGTCAGGTATTGCCCAAACTTCTTTTTTGCCTGAGACAGAGAAATGCAAAATTGATATGATTTCTTAATGTTCCAAGGTAGAAAAGAAAGGAAGGGAGTGGGAGGAGAGGAAAAAGAAAGTTTTAATATCTTTGGGGGGAATAAAATAGGATTATACTAGATTTGGGGAACAATGGGGGAAAAGAACCTCTTGATTTTTCTTCTACCTTATCTTTTAACCCTCGTACGTTTCTTTGCTACAAGTTTATACGCTCCTATTTTGTTGACATTTCTATTATACTCACAGAGGAAACTAGTGGAAATGTTCAAGGAATTCAGCAGTTGTTCAGGATTATCTTGTTTCTGAATGCACCCCTACTTTAGAGACCCATGACAAAACTGTGAGACAATCTAGCTCTAAATAATTCTTAAAATTGAAACTATCTGTTAGTGGCCTCAGGTTTGAAAGCTGGGTCCCCAGGTATCCCACTAGATCCTCTGAAGCTCCTATGGTTCAAAGATCCTGGAACCAAGCATGCTTCTACCTAACTATTGGAAGCTTAATATGAAATGTCAAATTCCACCCCACTTCCTAAAAGAAAATCTAATAAAAATTATACTGTAAATCATTTATAAAATCAATCAATATTCTTACTGAAATGCAAAGGGATAACTCTTTGCATTTCAGCAAGTATATTGATTGACTTTATGAATAAATGGTTTACTGTATAAAATTGGTATGAAAAAGAATGCAAGAAATTTGGGCTTAGTTTTAGCAGCTTGGCCTTGTTCTGGTTCTCACTTTCAGACACGTGGACCCCTTTCCAGAGATTTCATGTGAAGATTTCAACTTCAAATTGGGGAAACTTAAAGGGGCTGGTTAATTAAGTAGCTTAATTGCTTCCCCTGGTGCACAACTTTTTTTCTCTCTTCTGGGAGGCCAGGCCCCAGCTCATCCTTCCCATTGCTGGGCTTGCATTCTTGTTCTCTCTCCCTCCTGCTCTTTTTGGCTGGGAGAGTGCTACAGGAGGCTGTGGAGGCCAAAGGGGCTGGCCGGGAGGGCATGCATGCGGACTGCTTTGACCGGCAGAGACACCATGGGTCGGTCCTTTGATATATCCAGGCCGGCCCAATGGGCCAGATTTAAGAAAGCTGTGGGCCAGGATGATGCATACACTAGTTAGTTGTTTTTCAATACGAAAAATGCTGGCCAAAACTCTGAAAGAGCTGTGCATCAACAGGCTTTTTAAAACTTGCACAGTGTTTAATAATTTCCTCCATCAACATTGGGAAGTATCAATAGTAACATTAGTGCCCTATGCGAATCTTCTTGGGAAATGTATAAAATTAAAGTCATGACCTTCAGAATAGAGACAGGTGGATGTATAAAGTCCAAATTTTGCGTTCTGGAAAAAAAGCTATTCCTGGTCCAACACTATAATGCATAAACCACCTGGTATAGCAGTCTCATAACTGAATTTGGCCAACTCTGTACACGGGATTGTAGCCTTAGTAAATAAGATCACTTACATGTATTTAATTTGTTCTCCTAGGGAGTTCCGAACAGCCACTACTTCAATGGGTATGGCGTACGAATTGGAAGTAATAGAAGCTATAAAGGTGAAAACTTTATTATTGTTGTCTTTCAATGAAATAACAGAATAAATCTTTCAGAAAAAGCAGCTTTAAAGAGGATGACTAAAATAGAATCTACTTAAGTCACATTAGAAAGCTATATGGTAAATTCCATGACCATTATGACCATTATGTGAGGGCTATTAGGAATTATGGTTTGTTAGTATTGCAGGTGAAGGAGCATTCCCTTGCCTTATTGTTCCTTACTGCTGTTGTAGAAAGACATAACATACGCTTTGCTGAGATTTTTAACAAGTGGTATGAGGATATCTGCCAAAATATTTAGGATTATAAAGAATAAGAAAACATGGACAGATATCTTGCTAATGAAAGGGGAAGATGCACTACACTATTGTCACAGACTTACACCCACCCACAGACACACAGACACACAGAAGGGAGGGACAGAGTTCATCATTTATCCCTTTTCCTTATAAAAATCTCCATAAAAACGCTATGTGAAAGTCTCCATAACATATGCATGCATATGCACCAAAACAGTGATAGCTGTTTCTTATGGGCTGACATTAGCTGCTGTTTGCTTTCCCTAGGCAATTGACAGATGTGCTTAGCAGGATTTCTGACATATCATACTCCTTTCCCCCAGCCATTTTTGTTGGAAATGTTGTATGTTTACACGATCAAAGCTTTTCCCCTGTCTCTCTCTTTTTTTTAATCAGCATTTTCAGATGTTCAGATAAATCTTGGCATGGTGGTGGAGATAATGCTGTCATGCTTGCCAACTAATTAATACTTTGCCCTGCTGATTTTTGTGTAAGGAGACAGTAGACAGTCTTAGGTTAAAGTTTGGGAGGTTTGAGGAAGAAACCACAGAGTCAGATAGTGCATTCCAGGCAATGGCCACTCTGTTGCTGAAGTCGTATTTTCTGCAATCGAGTTTAGAGTGGTTTACATTGAGTTTGTATCTATCGTGTGCTCGTGTATTGTTGTGGTTGAAGCTGAAGTTGTCATTGACAGGCAGGACATTGTAGCAGATAATTTTATGTACTACGCTTAAGTCACACTGAAGGTGGCGCAGTTCTAAGTTGTCTAAGCCCAAAATTTCAAGTTAGAGGGCATAAGGTATTCTGTTGTGAGCAGAGGATGCACTACTGAAAGCTGTGACCATATTTTAGATTGCCTTAGCTTGATGTTGATATATAATTCACAGGCACCACACACACACACACACACACACACACCCCTACACAGGAGAGTGTTAGGATTTGATGCCAGGTTCAGCAAGGACTTTGATGCTCCATCCTATTTGCATAGTGGGCTCACCTTTCAGCCCAGCTCCCCTCTCGTCCTCTCCCCCTTGTGGGGCCAGCANGGAGACCAATAGGGAGCCAGTGCAGCTCGCGGAGGATGCGTGTAACATGGGTGTATCTAGGTACACCCGATATCGCTCGCGCAGCTGCATTCTGGACCAACTGTAGTCTCCGAACACTCTTCAGGGGCATCCCCATGTAGAGCGCATTACAGTAATCAAGCCTTGAGGTGATGAGGCCAAAGAGGAAAGAAATTCTGCTTCCATCTACTTTTTGGAGAGAGATCAAAGATTAAAAGTAATGCTTCTGCACACAATATGTATATCCAAGCAATGTTTTTCTGTAGAAAACCCCACCAGGCTAAAAAGCAGGACACCATGAGTTCAAGTCCTTTCTTAACCATGAAAGCCACCTTGGTGACTTTAGGCCAGTCACTCCTCTCAACTCAAACCATCTCACAGGTTTGTTGTTGTGGGGAAAATAGGAGGAGGAAGATCTATTGGATATATTCACTGTCTTGAGTTATTTGTAAAATAATAAAGGCGGGACACAAATAAATAAATTAAGAACCCTTTAATAATGCTATGCATTTTAGAAATTAATGACCTGCTCTTTGTCAGGAGCAGCCTTCCGAAACAGGGTCTCCTCCAGAGGTGTTAGACTACAACGGCCCTAAATTCTAGCCCTCAAAGCTGATTTTGCAATGGTATGTGGGAATGACCTTGGGAGACAGGGCAAAGTGACACAATCCAATAAAAGACAGCTGATCCTGCAGCAATAATGTGGGTGGAGCCATAGAAGAGACCTTAGTTTTGGCTCTGTAAAAGGGAAGAGGGAAGAGAAGTACTGTCGGACTTGCAAGATTCTGTTAATGTAATGGTACAATAATGTATAAATAGGTGCTTGGTTGTGCTTCCTGTCTGGTCTACCTTATAAGGCTAACAGTTTTGGAGCGTAGAAGTAATAATTTTACTGAAACTTTTACTAAGGAGCTACTAAGTGAAAAGAAAGCATTTTAAAGAGAGCATTTGTCAAACTTTTGGACATTAACTACATTCAATTGAACCTGAGTAAAGCTTACTTGTTCAGTTTCAAACTAATCATTTTGTTTAATTTTTTTCCTTCCTTCCTTCCTTCCTTCCTTCCTTCCTTCCTTCCTTCCTTCCTTCCTTCCTTCCTTCCTTTAGGTTTTATTGATGTTATAGTAAAACCAGCATTTGTTCTTCTATTTGAAACTGTTGAAGCTGCTAATTCTCCATGTGAAAAAGATAGGTATGGATATCTTTGCTTATTTCAGTTACCTTTGACTCCAAAATTCTGCTTCAGCTCTCCCTTAAGCATGTCTTGAAATAACTTAACCAAACTAGAAATTATAATGTCATGTTCTAAACCTTTATAGCTAAGGCAAAAAAGAGCAAGATGGCACTCTCTTTTCCATTCACTGTTTCCAGCCCTGTGAACATGGAAATACATTTTCTTTCTAATTACAAATATTATTTTCCAGTTAGTTTTAATATATTTGTGAGTTTCTAGAAAAGTTGACAGGGGAAGAAAAGAGACTGAAGAAATGCATGGAAGGTTTGGGCAGTTCCACAACTGGAGAATTTAACAGTTTTAACTCCATCACTTAGCAACTCTTGCAACAATGATGACACACTGTAAGGGATATTATACAGGTAGTCCTCAAGTGATGACTACAACTGACCCAATATTTATGTTGAAACATTTGTTAAGTGGGTTTGCCCCATTTTATGACTTTTTTTGCCACAGCTGTTAAGTGAATCATGGCATTTGTTAAGTTAGCAACATGCTTGTTAAGGGAATCTGCATTCCCCATTGACTTTCCTTCTCAGAAGGTTGCAAAATCTGATCACATGACTCTAGGACACTGGAACCATCATAAATATCAACCATTTGCCAGGCATCTGAATTTTGATCAAGTGACCATGGGGATGCTGCAACAGTCATCAGTGTGAAAAACAGTCGAAAGACACTTTGTTCAGTGCCATTGTAACTTTGAACGGTCACTCAATCTGTAGTATTCTGTGCCAGCCTTTCTCAATGGCATTAAGGCAGTGTTTCTCAACCTTGGCAACTTGAAGATGTCCGGACTTCAACTCCCAGAATTCCCCAGCCAGCATTCGCTGGCTGGGGAATTCTGGGAGTTGAAGTCCAGACATCTTCAAGTTGCTAAGGTTGAGAAACACTGCATTAAGGAAAGAAATTGTTATAGATGTGGGTGGAGGTGATAGTGTTGTTGCTCTTCCACAATAGATTTGGGAAGAAACTAAATAAGAGTTTACTTTCACAGGTATATCTATCTTCTGTATTCTTTCGCACTTCATGCAAAAATGGCTTCCACGTTAAGTTTACATTGATAAGATAATAGTAGTATCTCATACAGTAATGCCGTATTTGTTTGCTTAGTTCTTGGCAGTAATTAGTTGAATCTCATGATACTTCTATAACATACTGTATGCATAAAACACATACTATTTTTTTGTTGAAATGAGAAATAACAACAGAAGAGATTAGTACCTGTTCTTTGAAGCCTGGTGAGCAGATATAAGATTATGTAGTATCTCCTAATCTTTGTGTCATGTATTCTGTCTCATGTATTCCAGCACTTATTCTTCCCAGTTTTTACAAATTAAAGTGCAACAGTCTGAAGAAGAACTGCTCTCACATTTGCGTTAGGAAGAGCCGAGGTGGCGCAGTGGATAGAGTGCAGTACTGCAGCCACTTCAGCTGACTGTTAGCTGCAGTTCGGCGGTTCAAATCTCACCGGCTCAAGGTTGACTCAGCCTTCCATCCTTCCGAGGTGGGTAAAATGAGGACCCAGACTGTGGGGGCAATATGCTGACTCTGTAAACCGCTTAGAGAGGGCTGAAAGCCCTATGAAGCAGTATATAAGTCTAACTGCTATTGCTATTGCTGTTGCTATTGCTCCCACATCTATACAGTCATGTTCAGACTTTCTCGTAGAGACTGGGAGAATGTGGTAGGGTGGAATGTTCATGTAAGGATGGAGCAGAGGACTAGTGTACAGACTCCTACAGGTTTTTTTTCATATTTAATTTGCACATCTGAATAAGATTCATTTCATATCCAGATCTCTAGGTTATTTATCCTGCCCTATTACATTGTTCATTACTTTTCCTATAATTATTTCAGTGCTTTCTTCACAGATGTGATGCTTGCTTTGCTTTGGGAGTTTTGAAGCTTTATCATTTTTCCTTTTCCTTTTAAAGATGAATATTCTGCATTAGAAGCTGTACAATGGAATAATATAAAGCTCCCAAAGAAATTGCTTACCTGAAAAGCAGAATTTATGATAACAAGTCCATGTTGCTGTAAATATTTATTAAATGATTTATGCAGAAATATAAACAACACTATGTAAACTGAAATTAGTTCTTTTGAATGCTTTTCAAAGAAACATCTTTTTTTCCTCGAGGCATAGAAGGACTGGTAAGCTTGGGACAACTATCTGTCCCAAATTTCCATGTTGCATCTTACAGAGAGGAATTAAATTCCTCTAATTTCTTGATTCAGAAACTTCCCTATTATAGAATCTTAGCACAGCTAAGTATTATTTTCTACTAAGCAGCTTAAAATGAAATTAAATAAAAAATAGCATATTGCTTAATGTAGGATTGCCTTTGCTCTGATTAAGATAATTCTTTTAACTTTTACTTTGCCTGTGTGATTACAGTGTGGATCAGGACTCAAGATCAACATTTTAGTCATCTTTTGATTTGCCACTTTTACTTCCCAAGTGACTGTTTCTGTACTAGGTGGAATGGAACATCGAACTTCAGAAGAAAATATCTCCAGTCTGAAAGCAAAATAGTAGCACCCACATGCAGGAGAAACATACAGTCAGCAACCCATCTTAATCTCAGGAAATACCGCATATTGAAGAGCCTCAAAGCAGCCTAAGTGGGAGTGGGCATGCTCAGCATTGTAATATGTTGCCTGGTTTTAAAAGAGCAAGTGATAGCTATAAGAGGAAATGGAATGGAATAGTTACCAGTATAAACATATTAGTGAAAAAGATCCATCCATGTACAACGGTAAAGAAATTCGGCTTAGGGTGAAGAACAGGGATCTTTGACTTTTGTAGTTTTCATCTCCTCTTAAATGCATAGCATAAATGAACTACAGTACTAAATGGTATTATAAGGTCTTCCTTAACTGTATTATACAGAGCTGTGGTGCACAATGGCTAGAATGTAGTACTGCACGACCATTTTCCACACTTCTGACTGTTGCCTGTGTTCACATGCTCAAAATTCGTACACTTGACAACAGGCATGTATTTATTATGGTTGCAGTATCCTGGGTCATGTGATCACCTTGTGTGGCTTGACAAATAAAGCCAATGGGGAAGCCAGATTCACTTAACCACCATGCTACTAACTTAACTGCAGTGATTCACTTAACAACCATGGCAAGAAAAGTCATAAAATCAGACAAAATTTATTTAACTTGTTTGGCAATGGAAATTATAGGATCGATTGTGGTTGTTAAGTCGAGAACTACTTGTATTAACCACAAATCTACTGTCTCCTCTGTAAATTTGCTATTTCAGGTTCACTTTAAAATGTAATTTGCATTTAAATACAATCCACATTTATCCAATGACAAAATAGAGTTACATAATTAAAACAGTGATGTTAACAATTCCTTCCTTCCTCCCTGCCTTCCTTCTTGTGTAACTGCCTTCCTAGGAATGAACGATGCATAGGCATTAATGAAGTAAATCCCAGTGGAAACTATCTACCTAAAGATGATAGGATTTGCCTAGAAAAACAGAAATTCAACCTATCAAACTTTAGGGACCAAATTCTGCAGACGATTGAAGCAAATAGAAACAAATGGAAGGATAATAAAGAAGCTGTTAACAAAGGTATGGATAACATAGACTGGCATACTTGTGTTTGTTCTTTTTGCTGCCTCTCTATACTGTGGTTTATAAAATCAGGAACAACCTACCCTGAAAATGGATACTTTCTTCTCCGACCTTCTTTCTTCTTTTCTGAGTGCAAAGTTCCTCCTTCATTTTCTTAATAATTTGGGGGAGTAATATGTTGTCCAATAGCTGCAAATGTCAGGCTGTAAATATTGTGGGTAGAGATGTAATGATCAGATTCTAAAAAGAAGAAATGAGTTTTTAAGGGTGCATCAAACAATTCAAAACAGAAAGCCAAACAAACACAAATTTAAATTCTTTATTCCTGAGCCATAAACTTCCTGAGAGTAGCTGGAAACTAAGTGTGATACAATATTGGAATTAAAATAAACATTATGCAGGGGTGATAGAAGTGATAGAGATGAAGGTGGTGTCAGATGAGAAGAGAGCTTTTTGCATATGTCACCATTCTTGTGACATATGAAAGAAGCAGAATTTGCATTGCAAAAGTTTGATTGGACAGCCATTTGCCAAGAATCATATAGGGTCTCCTGATTGAGCAAGAGGTTGGACTAGAAAACCTCCAAGGTCCCTTCCAACTCTGTTACTGTTCTGACTGCATATGCCATTTGGTTGAAATCATTGAATCTCTTGAGGATGCCTTAGATGAGTATGCTCTAACTTGGTGTAAAAGAGCACAGAGATTACCTTCGAGAAAGTATGAGACAGTTAGCAAAACATGATCTTATCCCAAGAAAACAAAAAAAAAATGTGAGAGAAAACATTTAAAGTAGACTCCTTGGCTCATTTTAGTGTAAGAAGTAGGGAAAGGAAAATGCTATCAGGTTTTAAATTTCTATATCAATAAAACAAGAGTTGTGAGAATTAAATGAGGAAATTTTTCTAGAGTGCCAGAGTGCCAGTCATGAGTCATGAGATCTAAAACATAAGCTAACATTTCCCTTTTAAAAATGACTAAAATAAATATACCCCAAATTATTCCACCCACAAAGAATTGATTATGGAGGGAGAGAAAGAGAGAAAGTAGTCCCAATTGGTGCCTAGGACAGGGATTGGCAATCTTAAACACTCAAAGAGCCATTTGGACCCGTTTCCCACAGAAAAGAAAACACCGGGAGCCACAAAACTCTTCCTATGCCTGACTATTTCCTGAGCGGCCACAAAACTAGTATATGTATTTGAAGTAAGCATTCTGTTTTCTTCTGAAACTTTTATTTTCTTGGATTTCACCATGTTTGGTCTACCGGAGGTTGAAAAGCTCAAGAAATCATGTTCCAGCAGGCGTCATACATTGGCGGGTATAACACATATTTTCAGCAACAGGGAGCCGCAGCAGAGGGATAAAAGAACCACATGCGGCTCCAGAGCNAGTTGTCTAAGCCCAAAATTTCAAGTTAGAGGGCATAAGGTATTCTGTTGTGAGCAGAGGATGCACTACTGAAAGCTGTGACCATATTTTAGATTGCCTTAGCTTGATGTTGATATATAATTCACAGGCACCACACACACACACACACACACACACACCCCTACACAGGAGAGTGTTAGGATTTGATGCCAGGTTCAGCAAGGACTTTGATGCTCCATCCTATTTGCATAGTGGGCTCACCTTTCAGCCCAGCTCCCCTCTCGTCCTCTCCCCCTTGTGGGGCCAGCATCAGACAAATGCTGCTGCAAAATAACTTTGCTGGCAAGTCTGTGGTTTGGCTCTATTATGTATTGGAACGATTCCAGGACCATCAATTTGAATGTATGAAAAACTCACATCCAAGTTGGATGGCATGAAATTATATTAACACGACAGGTCTTTCTATAAGCGGTCATTTCATTCCACAAGTCCTGTTTTTATGTCTATATATTTAAGAACTACTGTGCCTGTCTGGGTCACATCTTTGAAAGTATGTACAGTAGAGTAGCACTGTGGATTTTGTTCAAATTATTCAAATGAAACTTGCACATTTATATTGCACACGTTCCCAAATTCTGTTCTGACCCAGTTAGTATGAAATGTGACCAGTTTTGGAAAGTTAAAATACTTCTATTTATGTTTTAGTTTAAATTTTACAGTTCTCGTTGTGCCCAATTCTGGCTAAAAATATTTGCTTATTTACATATGTTTTTCATTATTGACAGACTATCGATAAATGGGATTTTAATGTGTTTACCTTAGATGAAGCTGCTGAAGGACACTGCTTAAAATACGTGATGTGCGAAATATTTACCAAATATGAACTTTTGAAACGTTTCCAGGTCAGGAGCTAAATAGCAAACAAAACCATAATATGTTATATCTCCCTCCCTCCCTCCTCCCAGTGTGTGCGTGCATGTGTGTGTGTGTGTGTGTGTGTGTGTGTGTGTGTGTGTGTGTGTGTGTATCAGGAAATACAGAAGTCCAAACTCTTAGCAGGCTTAATACAGAGCACAAACAGTAAGACATGATCATCACAGGGTCTTAGTTTATAAAGTTCCTCAGGAGCAAAATAAGATGCTTTGGTATATCTCACCTTTAGGACTTAAGACAGTCTTTCTCAACCTTGGCGACTTTAAGTCCTGTGGACTTCAACTCCCAGAATTACCTTACACAGCTGGCTGGGGAATTCTGGGAGTTGAAGTCCACAGGACTTAAAGTCACCAAGGTTGAGAAACACTGACTTAAGAGAAAAATCTAGCAAATATCTGAACAGATGAGGAATTGACCTGTTCCTCTTGACCTTCTAAAGAAAGATCCTTTCATGGTGCCCCAGTATTAGCAATGTTTTGGGCCTAATCCATGTATAATTAAAACCTTCCAGTGACACTCAATACTGAAAATCAGTAGTTGAAAGAATGTTTGATCTAGTTAATCGCTATTGTGCATACTCAATTCTTGTCTCCCCACAGATACCATTTACCATCCTAATCTCCTTTGCAAAAGCTTTGGAAGCTGGTTACAATAAACACAAAAATCCATATCACAATTCGCTCCATGCTGCAGATGTTACTCAAACTGTGCATGCCCTTATGATTCATACTGGAATGATGGTAAGAGATGACACAATACCCCAGAGAGATAAAGTCTCTCTTTAAGAAGCCTCTGACGTAAGTCACATATAATAGTTGTAGCCTACATCTGGCAACTAGCTACTACCTGGAAATCAATAATATACTTTGTGTACCCAATGGAAAAGTAAGTTTCACTCATGAGATTTCCAGTGGCAGACAAAGCTCTGCTGGTTCAAAGTCTGTTTTCTTTCTCTGCTTCCTCATCAGTGAAGTAAAGAAGCAGCTCTGGATGCACCCATAAGGTTGTATCTGTCTCCATGAAGTATTAGATAATAAGCAACCTAATGGTGCAGACTAATATTCCACAAAATGTAACCCAGATTCTATTGTCTCTCTCGCTGTTGTTATTATTATCTTCCCATTCTTTCCCTGTGATGACTTCCTTGACAATATTTACACTATACTTTCATTGGGACAAAACACCCCAAACTAACCCAGTAATATTGCAGGCATAGAAAAATAATGGAACCAAATTGCATTTTATGCGTGACCCGACAAATGCGCACACGACAAAAGCATGCTGACAAAACTGCAGCGAGAAAACCACGACGTCATGAATGCTCCCACAACGTGCCGACAAAACCGCGCCCACAAAAGCGCGATTTCAGTTAAGGTAAGGGTTAGGTTCAGGGTTAGGTTCAGGGTTAGGTTTAGGGTTAGGTTTAAGGTTAGGGTTCGGTTTAAGGTTAGGTTTAGAACTCGCGGTTGTTACTTGTTTGTTGAAGGCACGCTTTTGTCAGCGCGCTGTTCTCAGCACGCTTCTGCGCTCATTCGTCAGCACGATTTAGAACTCGCGGTTTTCTCGCCGCGGTTTCGTCGGCACACTTTTGTCAAGCGCGCATTTGTCGGTGAACCCATTTTATGCATGAACAATGAAGCACCATTGGAGTGCTATAAAGGCAAGCAAATCTGTGATACTTTGAACCATCAGATAAAATTAGCAATTTGCTTTTAGTGCTTTTATTGGTTCTAAGTTCCCCTTTCCAGTTCCTATAGCTGCTGGATACTTTATTTCTGTCATGTCCGGTAGTTTCCTTCATACCTCTTCCAAACTCTGTAATTCTCCATCTGTTTCTGCTTTTGTAGCCTATACTTCTAAACCTCAAGAGTATCTTGGATGCCTGACATAAAAGGGAGAAGTTGCAGATGAAACCTTCATTGGCGGGATAAAAATCATCTGGAACTTGGCAAAGGGACTTCTGACTTACTATCTTTTGATTTTCCTCTGAACCTCCCAGACAAGTTGTGAACTAATAAATTTGCTAAAATTGTCAGGATGTGCATTCTAACCAAATGTACCCCAAGCCATTTACTTTCATTTGCATAAAAATGAGTAAAGCATGTGTTTCGACAGATGTTGCTAACACAGTTTCCAACATTCATCACCATTGACATCCTAGCGCACATTGCAATGATTTTGAGTTACTGCAGTAACTCAAGTTACTTCAATTGTGCTGATATATCTATGTTTATCAGAGAATTTTACGTATGGAGATGGAGAAGGAGGAACTGATTGGAACTTGGCACAAGCTAAAGTACTTGATAACCCACTTGATACCCACCTGAAGCTGCCATTTATTGCATATGAGAGGGCATTCATTTCAGTAAGTCGTTTCCTCCCACTCCCCATCTATTTTGTAAAATAAGAGATAGTATATACAGATACTGTGTACTTCATATTTTATTGTGTTAAGGAACATCATGGATTTCTAATTCTTTCCACTAGCAATGGTTTACTGACCTGGAGATCTTAGCTATTTTTTTTAGCAGCATCATCCATGATTATGAGCACACCGGAACCACAAACCATTTCCACATAGAGACAAGGTAAATCATCTGTCCTATTCTACCTGTTGCCAAAATGGAAAGATTGAGAGGTTTAATGAATTATGGCTGATACGCAATTTGCTACTGTTTAGCAAATCAAACAGTCCCTGCCTGTGTTTTCCTCTGAGATAGGGAATTATTAGTCCTTCTGAGATAAGGACAAACGAACAGGTAGGTGTATGATGACTCAGAGCTTGAGATGAAACTTTCACTCCTCAGTTCCTACAGTTGATGTCATCCAGCCATAGAAGTGTAGGAGCTAATGTGATTTAGTGTTTGATTTATTTCCCATTAACAGTAGTTGCAGAGTAGCTGAAGCCCAAAGCATTCATTGCACTGCCCTTGTATTTCATCACAGTGAACTTCACTGTTGACAGACTGTTGGCTGACAATAAATTAGTTTGTGGTTTCTATTAATAATTCTTTTATGATGAAAATACAATATAATTTATTTCATTTCCTTGCAAGACTCCATTTTTAATCTCTCTTAAAATGTTGTGCAGGTGCCAGGGGACCAAGGCATGTAGTTCTCTCTCAGCCAGCCATAAAGCTGATGCTAAATAACCTCTATTCAGATAGACATTTATGAAACTGATACTCTAACAAGTAAACATAATGTCTGTCTGTGTGTCTGTCTCTCTCCCTCCCCCCTCCCTCCCCCTTTCCCTCTCTCCCTCCCCTCCCCTCCTCTTCCATCAATTTAACACAAACATTCTTTGGACTTCTACACTAGGTCAAAAGCTGCTCTTTTGTATAATGATAGATCAGTTCTTGAAAACCATCACCTGAGTGCTGCCTTCCGGCTGCTACAAGACAGAGATACAAATATCTTAGACAACTTAACCAAAGATGAATGGAGGTGAGGCTATATATTGTTATGTAGCTAAAGGGTTTTTATATATGTGTGTGTGTGTGTGTGTGTGTGTGTGTATGTGTATATGTATATATTCTTTTGGATTTGGTTTTCTTTTGTTTTCAAAATTGTTTTTAAGGAACTATATAAAAACTTCCACATATGTCTCCTTGTCATATATGACAGCCAAGCCTGTACATTAGGCAGGTGGCCAAGCAAATATATGGGCTAATAGGTATGGATTCACTTGCAAAGCTGCTGTGAGGGTTTTACCATTTTATTTACTTATTAATATATTGTTTCCAGATTTATAACTATCATAGTATATCAGAAAATTGATTACATCATGAGATCCATCATATAATGCACAGTTTAAATGCTAAGATTAATAGTTAAAATAATTTAACTATTATTTACCGTAACTATAATAGTGGAAATAATTTGCCATTTGATATGACAGCATTAGTTACCCTTCATTTCTGAAGGCCTTTGGGAAGAGCTATTTTTCTACCAATTTTAGAAGGCCACAAGAGTGGGGCACCTTTGTTTCCTAGGGAAGCACTTGCAAAAAAATGAAGTACAGGTAGTCCTCAACTTACAACAGTTCATTTAGGTACAATGACATTTAAAAAAGTGACTTATGACTATTTTCACCCTTTCAACCATTGCAGCAACCCTGTGGTCACGTGATCAAGATTCAGATGCTTGGCAACTGACTCATATTTATAACAATTGAAGTGTCCTCAGGTTATGGGATCCCCTTTTTCTGACAAGCAAAGGCAACAGGAAAGCCAGATTCACTTAACAATCAAATTGCTAATTTAACTAAATGCTCTGATTCACTGAACAACTGTGGCAAGAACGGTTGTAAAATGGGACTAAATTCATTTGACACCTGGCTCACTTAGCAACAGAGATTTTAAGCATGTAAGTTGAGGACTACCTGTAGTCAAATCGTGTAAGTTGCTACAGTGTAAAATATCAATTATTTTCAATAACTCTGAATTTACCCTAAAATTGTTTCCCTGATTCTTTCATGTTGGGGATGTGATAACTATTTGAAACATTTCTCCGAAGTCCAAATGTGGAAGTTAATTTAACCTTAAACTGTCTAGTGTGGACCTCACCCCTTTCCTAAGAGGTCTGCAGGGGGCATGCATAAGCGCATCAGCCTGTCCTATTGTGCCTATTTATTCATACCCATTTCCTGTGTTCGTGTTCATGTTTATACTTATACCTGTTATCTTGTACATGTTTGACTGACTGACTGACTAACTAACTAACTAACTAACTAACTAACTAATTTGTTCATATTTGGAGATGGCCCAGGGACTTCTTTCCCTGCAAACCTCACTAAAGCAGAATAATGAGAACAAGCAGCGAAGGCATCCAGTGAAGGGCTTTTACAGATGGAAATAGATAAAAACCCCAAAGCCATACTTTGCAGCAAGTGCCTGGAAATTGTTTCTTCCAAGTAGAAGATAGGATAATGTGCCTCTTAGTGCTGGGTAATATTTGGACATTTTTATTTTGATAACACCTAGAATAAAATGTTCCTCTGTCTTCTTTCAGGGAGTTCCGTCGCATGGTTATTAATATAGTGTTATCTACAGATATGTCACATCATTTCCAGCAGATGAAAGTCATGAAACATATTCTGCAGTGTCTCCAGCTAGCTGACAGGTTAGTTGTATTGGAAAGAGAAGCTGTCCTCACTCTGAACAGGGAGCAGGAGTGGGGTATGGAGAGTGGCTAAGAGTTCTAAAGTTTTTTCTGGCTAAAAAAAAGTGGATCCTTTTTTTTCTGTCTGCTGAAATTATCTTAATTTCACAGGACACACAAGGATCAAATCATGTCTTTTCTGGTACACATGGCTGACATCAACCATCCAGCAAAGCCTTGGGAACTGCACCATCGATGGTCAGAAGCATTACTGGAAGAATTCTTTGAACAGGTGCTTTATTTAAAAGTCTACGCGTATATAATAGGTCTGTGCAACAATTCGGATTCAAAGGCAAAAGGCTAATTCAGAGCATACAGAATACAAATTTAGTACCTGTCTGCAACTTCTTAAAACTTTTGTAAGGGACTTTTTGGTCTCCTCCTTATCCCTGCCTTCCTTCATCACTCCCCAACTTTGCTATGGAGCATATGAAAAAAAGGCAGGGGAGCGTATTTACTGTGTCAATTTCACTGATGGAAAGAAATTGCAGGCTAAAAACTTCTGATACCTTGCGTGGCTCTTGGTATTTGTTGCTAAAATGTATGTATCTTTCTTCCTCTGTTTTAGAAACAGCATTTTCAAAATACTGTTTTTAACTGTTTTCATAGTATAGCATGTTTAAAGCATCACTTGTTCAGAATAGCTCATGCTTCTGTGAATTCCTTCCTTCAATACTAGGGAGACAAAGAGGCTGAAATGGGACTTCCAATTTCTTCACTCTGTGATCGCAAGACAACCAATATTGCAGAATCCCAAATAGGTGAAGCTTATTTAAAAGGAGGGAGGCAAACTTTGTTTCCCCCCACTCTTTTTACTTCTGACATTGTTGACTCTTCTTCCTAACCATCCTCCAAACAATGACTGTCCTTATGTAAAGCTTTTTTTTTAAAGCTTCCAGAAGTAACAACTAGGATGCAGAGGGGGGGGTCTTGGTAACAAGTCAGATTGCAATTATGATTTCATTAAATTACAGTGTTGCATTTTCCTCTTCTAGGGTAACTTTTCTCTGGTCGGTCACATTGGGGTAATTCTTTTAAGTGTAGCAAAACAACCATCAGAACAAATAATAATTCCCTTTTACTTAGGTAATGCAATGCATCATCGCATTGGCTGAGTTCATACCTCACATGATGCCATGGTTCCAATAGAGGAGAATATTTGTAGCCCGGGGCTGAAATGAGAGGCCTTAGTGCTCTCTGAGCTTGTTTGTTTTCTTGAATTGAATTGAATTGAATTGAATTGAA